GCTTCCCTCCACGCCGGGTTGCAATGTACGACTGCATGGAATCGTTTGCCCCGGGTCCGCGACGGCTGTATGGAGCGGCCGGGCCCGGGGCCGGCTTGCTGCGCAGAGCCACCGGCAGCTCCTGTTTCGCAGGACTTGAGTCTTTCGCTTGGCCGCAACCCGCCAGTCTGCAATGTAGGTATCCGAGCTCCGGTGTGGGTGGGTGGGGTGCAGGAGAGGCTGAGTTTGCTCTTTCCGAGTGTAAAGAGCGAGCGAAGATTCTAGCCTTTTTTGTGTGAGGTACTGGCCCTTTAAATGTGGGGGCTTTAGCGTCTCCTTTGCGTGTGTGTAGTGTTTGGAGCGTGTGTAGTTTTTTTGGTGGGCATTTAGCTGGGACCTGTGCTTGATGCCACGCCAGAGTGCAGGGCGTAGGCAGAGCCCGAGGTGCGTGGGTAGTTAGCGCTCTCGGGTCTCTGGCCTCGGAGGGATAAGGCAGCCAGGACTGCGTTTGTGAAGTCCATGTGGGAAGTTGCGAGTATAACAAATATTATTTGCAGAGCATGTGGGTCCTTGGTGTGTGCGGCGCCCTATCTAGGTGGTGTGTGTGGGAAGAGAGGTCTTGTTACTCGCTGTCTCCCTCCGTCTGCGTGGGAGGCCCCGCGTGGCCCAGCGTGGGGATGTTTGCGGCGTGAGGCCGGGAGGGCGTGTGCCCTTGCGCGGCTGCGGGGGCGGCTCTGCAGAGGGCTGGTTCAGTCCCAGAGTGCATCCTGTGTCTTCCTGTGGGGGCAAGGGCTCTGCTCCTCCCGCAGAAGAAATATGTTTGGAAACCTGTACTAGTCCAGTTGTATTCGAGAGATCCCCCCCATTGGCTCTAACACACAACTTTAGCAGGAAGCTTAAAGTTTAAAGCAAAGTCTGTATGTGGTGGTGGTGAGGTGGCCTGGAGGTGACAGTGGAGCGGGGGTACAATTTAGGGGTCCCCAAATCTCCATCTTCCCCTTGTGTGAAATGGAAGATGCCTGGGGCCCTGGAACCCCTTTGCAGAGCGGTAATAAAAAGCTGGGGACTGAGAGGCTGTAAAAATGAAGTCCAGATGAGAGGCGGCTTTGAAGCCTGGGCCGCAGTGCTTGGCAGGGGTGGGGTGTGGGGAGGAGCCAGAAGGGGGAGCCTGGGACACCCCCCAAATTTACCCGAGAGCTGGACTGCGCTCCCAGCCCGGGTGCGGACTGC